GCCAATTGCAATGACATGGATGGCGCTAGAAAGTATAATACTAAGTGAAATAAGTCAAAGAAATATTGTATGATTCCACTCATGAGTGGAATTCCTGAAACAAAACAAGGGAACAAAGAGACAAACAAAAAAACTCTTAGATATAGAGAACAACAAAAAATTAGTGAACAAACTGATGGTTACCAGAAGGGAAGTGGGAGGAGAGGATGGGTGAAACAGATGATGGGGATTAGGGGAGGGCACTTGTCATGATGATCACTGCATAATACTTAGAATTGTCAAATCACCCTATTGTACACCTGCAACTAATATAATACTACATTAATTATACTGGAATTATTTTAAACAAAATAAAGTGTATCAGCCTTATCTTCCCTAATTCTATGACATATTCTTTTAAAGCCGAGATCCTATTTTATAACTCTCTTTATATTTCCTGTATTTTCTATATAATTTTGCATATATTATGGTGATGAGGATAACTAGGCAGGTCTTTTTTTTTTAAGATTTTATTTGAGAGAGCGAGAGACAGAGCATATGAGTGGGAAGAGGAGGAACTGAGGGAGAGGAAGAGGGATAAGCAGACTCCCCCACTGAGCCCAACTTAGGGCTCTATCCCAGGACCCTGAGATCATGACCGGAGGCGAAGTCAGATGCTTAACGGACTAAGCCACCCAGGCGCCTGTAGACGAGACTTCTTAAAGAATTTGGTGAACCCAGGATCTTTAAACAACATATAAATGTTATCTGTAGTTTCCACAGGACTTAAAAGAAGTCTCTTCAACTTTTTAGATAACTGCAAAGTCTAGGCCATATGACCTGGTTATGTCCCATGAATCAACTCAAAAAAAACTATAGTTTATAACTTGAAACACAAAACAGAGGTAACTGAGAAGCAGCTGTACCTACTACTTGTGTTATTTCAGATCAAGTCTTCTAGCATTTCTGTTTCAATTTACTTGTCTTTATTTATTTTTTTTTTTATAAATTACTTGTCTTTAAAATGGGAATAACAGGGATCATGATCTGAGCCGCTTAACTGAGCCACCCAGGCGCCCGTTACTCCCTCCCTCTCCCCCTGCTGCCACTTCCTGACTTGTGCATGCGCTCTGTCCCTGTAAAATAAATAAATAAAATATATTTTTTTAAATAAGAATAACAAAACATACTCTTTCCCCTCAGGTTATTTGTAGGAATCAAGTTAAATGAGGCACTTCAAATAAACGTAAAGTATTTGTGAAATATAACAAGCAACATGCAGGTATAATCAGGGAGATTAATAGCAAGTTACTCTTATTAGCAGCCAGTGGGATAGCCTGGAAAAACATGGACTTTCAGGTCAAAAAGATGTGGATTCAAGTCTCCATTCTACCATTTACTAGCTAATGGATCCTGGATCCTGGGCAAGTTGCTTAAATATTTTTGAGCTTCAATCTTTTCAATTATAAAATGGAGAAAATAATACTGATCTCACAGGAAATAAAAAACACCTGATTCATGGTGAACTTGAATTTTATTCTGTGCCCTTATACTGACAATATTAGTTATTTTACTCAGAACACATGGGAAAAGTTATTGCAGTCCTTCCAGAGTTTACCATAAAGACATCAACATATTGAAAGAATAAATTTATATAGTATTTAATAAACACTACTAAATGCCTACCACTCTTCCCAGTGATCAGGAGAGATCTCAGAATTATGTATTCCCTGCCCTTTGGAGAAACAATATAAAAATGTTATAAGTGAGCCAGAGGGTTTCAAACCCATATGAGAGTCTGATGAAAGCTACAGCATCTCTCCCTAAAGAAAGCTAAAAAACTGTTAGGAAACAATCCAGGAGATAAGGAGAGTATCTTCATGACCTTGGGGTAGGGTAAGTATTCTTAACCAAAGGAGACAGCAAGGGGAAGAGGGACACTAACTACAAAGATTCAAAAACACAACTATGTTAAAATTAAGAATTTCCACATTAAAAGAAACCATAAAAAAATTAAAAAAAAAATAGGCCCAAGTGGAAGAAGATATTTGCAACACAAGCAACCAACAAAAGTTAAGATTCCTTTGTAAGAACTCCAACAAATCAATAAAAAATGACAGCCAAAAAGGGTGATATATTTATAAATATATATATTTATGAAAATAAACTGAATATAACAATATGGATACATCTTGAAAACAACACTGAATGAGAAAAATGTAACACTAAAAAATACATACCGGATGGTACCTCTTATGAAGTTTTAAAACAGGACGCTAAAGAATATTGTATTGGGATGCATATGCATACAGGTAAGACTGTACATAAAAGCAAGGAAAAAATAATCACAAGAGTCAAGAAAGTAGTTCCCTCAAGGGGCAGGAAGAGGCCGTGACCAAGAGGGATCAGAGTTGGCTTCTAGAGAACTGACAATATTCTATTTCTTGACTTGGATACAGGTTACAAGAGTTTCACTTTGTAATTTATAGGTTTTATACACTCTTCTGAATGTACACTGCAAAAATAAAGAAACACACCTTCACAACCACACCTACATTTAGCAGGAAGAGGAGGAGTTCAGACTCCGTCGGTCCACAAACCCTAAATGTATAGTATCAAGTCAAGTGAGATCAAAGGGAAAAAATCTAGATGTAAAATCGTGGGAGAAGAAGGAAGCAGTGAGCACCGGAGAGGTGAAAGATTAGAAAGACAGCTGGTAAGCAGAAGAAACACTAAGCTTCTAGGTCAGTTCACACGCTCACTTGGACAGAGAACATCTAGCACAAACATAGCTAACAAATGCCCAAGCTTGGTAAGGAATGCGATGGTGTCTGAAAAACACTTAAATGAATGAGGCAAAGGAGGAGCACAGCTGGTAAAGAAATGTGAACTATTAAATAATGTATCCCCAAAGAAAGAAGGCCAGTTGTTGCAAGTTTAACCCTCTGCCCATTCCATAATATTTCTGCGTCTCCACGGGGCATATTACATGGTTAGAAACTGTAAACACTAATTTCTGAGTGAAACATACACAATGTCCTGTCTAGTGAAGTATTATCACAGAACCTAGAAGAGTTTCTTCCAGCCATGGGATAAATATGCATATTGCAACTGACTAATGAACATATAACTGGATCAAATCTAGTGTAACCTCCAGTACTCTTCACAGTACAGCCCGTTGTAAGAGAAAGCGAAGCTTTTTGCTGAATAGGAATCCAAGGCGGCCTACACTGTTTAAATCACCAGTTTAAAGGAGGTACATCTTTGGAAAGTTTTTTCACTGTGTTCTTGCAAGAAATATTAATTCATATCCTGCAATTCCCCCATCCTATCACTAGTCTGGATTACACTAAACAAAACCATCAATTATTTTCAAAAAGACTGGTATTCACGCAGAAAGTCAAAAGGCTTTATTTTGATGGAAAGTCCAGTGATGGGCATCAAGAATTATTTTTAAGGTTCCAAGATCCTGCCAAAGGCCAAGGGCATTAAATTGACTATTTCTTCACATCCCACTAAATTCCTTCCTTTCATCCCATTTTGTATCCCTCATTGGTTCCCCACAGGCTTGTTATCTTCTCTTAATTCTCCAACTTTCAGGTTAAGGGAGCCACACAGAGAGGCTTCTCCATGATTTGAGGGAATGTTTACTATGGTCCATTTTCTAAAGAGGCTAAATCTTTCTCAGTTCTCTCTCTCTCTCTCTCTCTCTCTCTCTCATCTCCCTAAATTTGTTCTTCCCTCCAGTTTGCAGAAACTTGGCTAATCCAGCTGGAACCAAAGGCCAAAGAATTTCCTCTCCATTATGTCTGACTGAAAAGCTGCCCCAGGAACAGAGAAGGGGTGTGGACCTACACTTACGACTGCGGATCAAACTATTGATCCGAGCCGCCTTCGTGCACCCAAAACCACAAGACCATAAATGTACCTCTAGACCCAGAAAGGAGTCTCGGTCCAAATGAGCTGCCTTTAGGCATGCTACATCCTGGACGGGGGGAAGGGGGGTCACGAAATAACTACCGCAAGTGCTACCGATAAGTGGGGAGCTCGGGCGGGGGGAGGGGGAGGAAGGGGGAGGGGCAGAATCCAAGGTCCGAAGTTCGGGAGACACGAAACCAGACTCGACCGGCACGAGGTTGGAGCTGGCGGCGGCCGCGCAGGCAAACCGCCGGGAGGCGTCGATCGCGCTCCGAGCCCGCGGGACCCCGAGATCGCGCCCGGGCCTCCGGCTCCCCTGGGGACAGGCACCGCGGCCGCCGGCTCACGCCAGGGCTCCCGACTTCGCGCGTTCGCAACGTCCGTAGTTCGGGCTCCAGGGCCACTAGCAGGTGGAACTCCAGCCACCAGCGTGGGTGTCCCGGGGCGCGGCCCGCGAGCCAGGGTGACCACGGAGGGCCAGGGTGACCACGGAGAGCCAGGGTGACCACGGAGAGCCAGGGTGACCACGGAGAGCCGCGCAAAGACGCCGGTGCGCCCGACCCCCCCCCCGACCCCCCCGCGCCCCTCACCTGCCGCCGGGTGGCCCGACAGCGCGCACCCCGGGGCGCCCACCCCGCCTCCTCGCCTGCCCCCCGCGCCCCTCACCTGTCCCCCCTCGCCTGCCCCCCGCGCCCCTCACCTGCCCCCCTCGCCTGCTCCCTCCCCGCGCCCCTCGCCTGCCCTCCCCGCGCCCCTCACCTGTCCCCCCTCGCCTGCCCCCCGCGCCCCTCACCTGCCCCCCTCGCCTGTCCCTCCCCGCCCCCCGCCCCTCGCCTGCCCTCCCCGCGCCCCTCACCTGCCCCCCTGCCTGCCCTCCCCGCTCCCCTCACCTGCCCCCCCGCCTGCCCTTCCCGCGCCCCTCACCTGCCCCCCCGCCTGCCCTCCCCACGCCCCTCACCTGCCCCCCCGCCTGCCCTCCCTGCGCCCCTCACCTGCCCCCCTCGCCTGCCCCCCGGCGCCCCTCACCTGCCCCCCCCCGCCTGCCCCCTCCCCGCGCCCCTCACCTGCCCCCCCCCAGCCTGCCCCCTCCCCGCGCCCCTCACCTGCAGCGGGGTGGCCCGACAGCGCGCGGCCCCGGGCACGGCGCGGGCCCCCGAACTCGCGGCGCTCGCGCAGCTCCTCCTCCTCGTCCTCCCGCCGCCGGCCCTCAGCCATGGACGAGGCGCGGCGGCGCGGCCCCGGAGCGGCGGGGGAGCCGCGGGCCTCGGCGCGGGTCCGCGAGCACCGGGCGCCCCAGGCCAGCGCCCTCGGGCCTCCGGACTCCACCTGCAGCCCGCGGGCAGCGGCCTGGCTCGGGCCGGGCGGGCCTCCCCGCCTCCGCGCGGCGCACCAGCGGCCTCCCGCTCCCGCCCCGGCTCCCGCCCCGGCTCCGGCTCCCGCTCCCGGCTCGCCCTCTCGCGTCTCCCCTCCCTCCCTCCCTCCCTCCCCGCCCCGCGGAGCCGCGGCCCGGCCGGGGCGGGGAGCGCGCGGGCCTCGCCCCCTGGGGAGGGGTCACGGCCTGGGGCCGCCCCGCAGCCGCCGCAGCCGCCGCCGCCCGCCCGACCCCGACCGGCGCGAGCCGAGTAAATAAATGGGAGAGGAAGCGGGGAGAGACGAGGCGGCCTGGCCCCTTCCTGCCCCTGCCCGGTATCCCGGCGTCAACAGGAAACCCATTTGCCCGGCACCGAAACAAAGGAGGGGGAGGAGCAGCCCTCCCGCGGCTGCACGCGGACCCGCGGGCGCGCGGGAGCCCTGCGCTGGGGAGGGAGCGCACCTGCAGTCCAGGTGCAGGGAGCCCAGCCCCTGGGCTGCACGCTTGCTCCTCTTTTGCTCTCACATCACCCTTGTAAGTGGAGCCTCCCCAGGACACCGGATTTTAGGGCAGTGACATGATTCTGTACGACATTTTAACGGTGAATACATGTCAATATGCATTTGTCCAAACTCATAGCATATATAACACCCACGGAACCCCAATGTGAACTGTAGGGTTGGGGTGATCGTGACGTGTCAGGTGAGGTTCCCCAGCTGTAACAGATGGGTCACTCTCTCCTAGCCGCTGATGATGGGAGAGGCTGTGCAATGGGGTTATTTGTGAAACCCCAGTCTTCAGCTCAATTTTGCTGTGAATTAAAATATAAAGGCTAATTCTTTTTTTTAAAAAAAATTGTTATTTCAGCCTCGCTGGATTCTAATTACCTTAGGGTTAGAAAGTGGCCACCATCCCTAGAAGAAAATGTATTTAAGAGCCATGTACCTGATTAACTGGAGAGAAATGATTTTGATGAAGTGGCAGGAGCACTGGTGCTGGAGTGAGAAACTATAATTTGAAGCACTTAGCTATGAGATCTACCCTGTGAACGGTTTTTTCAAAAGTGAAATGTACGTGTAAGAAAGTTATTATGTGTATTTGTAGAGTGCACATCTTCCGTTCAGGACTTGTACATACACAGGTCCTCATAGAGATCCTGGAATCTCAGAAAAATACCCAAGCGACAAGCAGGAACATTGCCTGGACATGAACCTGTAGGAAACTCCCTGGTGGGATGAACAGGCCTTCATCTCCAGCCTCTCTGCTCTATTTCTGAGAGATCGTGAGAGTTCGTGATGTTCAGCATGTGAGAGAAAAAGAGAGAAAAGGGTCACTGAAAATAGAATTGCCTGCCGGACCTGAGTGCTGTGTCTTTGCCTTTTCAACAGTGGTTGTGGCTGCCTGAGAAAACCTTTCTGCTTCTGGGCAGATAAGAACCACAATCGATTTTGTGGAATTGAGGTCAAATCCACAAGTTAAAATTTTATTATTGCATAAGCCGTTAAATAAGTAGACATCTGGAGATTTTTGAAATTAAACTAGGGGTGGGTAAAAAAGTTCTGGCCTATTGAGTTGTTCTAAGAGTTTGAGTTCACTGTCAGGGAAAGCCCATTTGTCACTTTCCTTCAAAGATGAGGAATCACTCCAAGGTCCCTATTCTGACAACACAAACTTCACTAAAGCTGTTGAAGTCAGTCGCTGCTGTTATTCAGATTCTTAGTGTGAAAAGGCCTGCAGGTGTTCTGGATCTTCCATCCAATCAGAGTCTTCAAAACCCACCTCCTGCTTTGGGAGTACAGGCTCACTTTACATTCAGCAAACATTCATGGGAACTATTGTGTGCCAAAAACCGCACTAGGTGCTGTGGGGAGCCTCAAAAGAAGGAAAGAAGTATTTATTTTCAGGCCTTGTGGTAGGCGTTTTTCATATAGGTTTTCTCATTTTATTTAAAAAAAAATTTAACATAGAATATCCTGTCTTAACCAGTTTTTTTGTTTTTTTTTTTTTGGGTAGGCTTGACACCCAACGTGGTGCTTGAACTCATGACCCAGAGATCAAGAGTTGCATGCTCCGCTGACTAAGCCAGCCAAGGTGCCCTGATTTTCTCATTTTAAATGAACAAAACTAATCCCTGTTCTCCAATGACAGAGAAAGATTTATCCAGTTTACCACAAAATAAGCCAAACTTTGTTAAATTCTATAGTTGAGATATGACCTTAGATAAGGTTGCCAAGCTACTTCATTGGAGAAGGAATTATCTTTACAACTGGATATTCATGTGCTAAAGAATGAATTTGAACCCCTACTTCATACCATATCAAAAATTAAACAGAATCATAGATCTAAATGTAAGACTTAAAACTATAAAGCTCCTCAAAGAAAACATGGGATTGAATCTCTGTGACCCTGGCTTTGGCAATCATTTCTCAGGGGGACACCAAAACGTGTAAATGACAAAACTAAAAGTAAGTTGGATCACTCTAAAACTAAAAACTTGTGCTTCAAAAGATATCAATTAAGAGACTAAGAAGACACCCCTCAGAATGTGAGAAAATGTTTGAAAATCACATATATGAAAAGGGGCTTGTGTTCAGAATATAATATATAAAGAACTTACAACTCAACAGTTTTTTTTTTTAATTAGCCCAATTTAAAAATGGGCATTCTTGCAGTGCCTGGGTGGCTCAGTCAGTTGGGGAGCCAACTCTTGATCTCAGCTCAGTCTTTTATTTTATTATTATTATTTTTTTAAGATTTATTTGAGATAGAGCGAGAGAACAAGCAGGGGGAGGTGCAGAGGGAGAGAAACAGCCTCTCCACTAAGCAGGGAGCCTGATGTGGGGCTCAATCCCAGGACTCTGGGATCATGACCTGAGCAAAAGTCAGACACTTAACCGACTGAGCCACCCAGGCACCCCTCAGCTCAGGTCTTGAGCTCAGGGTTGTGAGTTCAAGTACTGCATTGGGCTTCACACTGGGCATGGCACCTAGTTAAATAAATAAATGGACATTCTTCAAAGAAGATATACAAATGGCCAATAAGATCATGAAAGACATTCAACATCAGGGGATCGCTGGGTGGCTCAGCAGTTTAGCGCCTGCCTTGGGCCCAGGGCGTGATCCTGGAATCCCAAGATCGAGTCCCACATCAAGCTCCCTGCATGGAGCCCACGTCTTCCTCTTCCTGTGTCTCTGCCTCTGTGTGTGTGTGTGTGTGTCTCACGAATAAATAAATAAAATCTTTAAAAAGAAAAAAGAAAGGCTTTCAACATCCTTAGGGAAATGTAAGTCAAAACCTTAATGAAGCATCACTTCATATCTCCCAGGATGGCTAAGATAAAGATATAGACAATAGTAAGTGTTGATAAGGATGTGAAGAAATTACAACCCTCACATGTAGCTGGTGGAAATGTAAAATGGTACAGCCACTTTGTAAAATATTATGACAGTTCTTCAAAAAGTTAAACATAGGGTTATCATTTAATGTAGCAGTTCTACTTGTCAGTGTATACCCAAAAGAAATGCAAACGCGTTCACACAAAAATTTGTGCACAGAAGCTGAGAGTGGCATTATTCATAATAGCACAAAAGTGAATACAAATGTTCATCAATTGGGCACCTGAGTGGTTCAGTGGCTGAGCACCTGCCTTTGGCTTGGGTCGTGATCCTGCGGTCCTGGGATCCAGTTCTGCACTGGGCTCCTAACGGGGAGCCTACTTCTCCCTCTGCCTATGTCTCTGCCTCTCTCTCTCATGAATAAATAAATAAAATCTTAACAAAAAACAAATGTTCACCAATTGGTGAATAAAGTGTGGAATATTCATTTAATGCAATATTATATAGCCATAAAAAGGAATGAAGTACTGCTACATGCTACAACACGGATTAACCTTGAAAACATTATGCTAAGTTAAAGAAACCAGAGACAAAAGACTGCTATGATGTATGTATGATTCTGTTTATATAAGATGTCCAGAGTAGATTAAGCCATAGGCACAAAGTACATCAGAGGTTGCTGGGGGCAAAGGAGAATGGGGAATCACAGCTAATAAGTACAGGATTTCTTCTTGAGGTCATGATAATACTATAAAATCAGATAGTGGCCAAGGCTGCACAGCTCTGTGAATGTACTAAGAGATGAATTTTATTGTATGTAAATTATATGTTAATAAAACTGTTGTTTAAATATTTATGTATAAATATGCATATAGAACCACCATAAAAGCACAGAAAACAAAGAGCAATGATAGGACTGCACTCTGAAGTCATCATATTAAAGTAGAGAAACCAGATAGGACTTACAAGCAATAACAATTTAATCATATGAAAGAAAATCAAAGGTGTAGCCAACTAGCAACTAAATAAACATGCTGAAACATCCTACCCACCCGAGTAACACAAGAGCCAAACCCATAGAAGGACAATGTTAAGAAACTTGGAATGAAAACTTACAGACTAAGAGAACAAGATTCACCATCAAAGCTTTAAGGTGCTAAAAAAATTTGTTTTTTGTAAGAGAGAGCCCAATTTATAAAGAAAATGTTCTTCTCACTTTAGATATATAGCCTGTAACAAAATGTAACAAAATTAAATAAAATGCTACCAAAGAAAAGAATATGCTATATCAATACATATGTAGTACAGTGCTTGGCAAATAGATGACACAATAAATATTTGTTTAATGACACATGAATATAATTCCTTTTTTTCCTGCTGAATCACTAGAAGGCATAGCCTGAAGTCCTTTAACTTAAATAAAAAGTATTTGGAATTTAAAATGCACAGCTGAAGACCTCAAAAAAGAAAAAGCAAGGATGGACAGAGATGTATACAGTATCTTCAAAGTTTCATGTCTTAAAATATCTGAACCAAGTGTGTCAGAATTTTAAGATTTATTAAAGTATGATGGTGGGTTTATGAGTGTGAATTATATTACTCTCCACACATTCTGTGTGTTTTTAGATTTTCACTATATTAAAATAATTAAAAAGCAAAAAGCACAATATAGACTGTCTAGACTGACAGCTAGAGTTCATATTTTCCAGCACACTTCGTTGTAGGGCATTCTCCTACTGATTGATAGCTTGCT